AAAAAGACGCTTGGTCCGGTCAGACTGTGTGTTAGAAAATATCCGGATCCGTTTCAGGTGGTGGTGACCAAAGCTCTACTCGGAAAAAGCTACGATAAGACTTAAAAGCAAATATTAGGTTGGACCGAAAGTCCGTACATTCGACTTTTTCAAAATAATTACGCCAGCAAACCGGCCGGTTTTAAGCATCCCTGGTTTACTCTACAGCGCTACTACATGCCCTCAAAAGAACGAATTCATCCTGCTTTCGACAGCTTTTTTATAACTAGTTATCCTTGAGGCACCTGCGGCGACATCACAGATCCTTCCCACCTTCTAGCCCTAGAAAAATTGTTGATGCCTTAACCCTCCAGCCGTAATTCGTCAAGTGTAATGCCAGTATAAGATCTTTTTAGCTATGGTGCCCAATTAGCTATCGCCTTCGTTATTCTCGTTAGTTTGATTCAAAACCTCGATCCTGGATCGGTCTACCCAAAACGCTAGCCAGAATTTATGGGGGACAACCAGAATTAAACTGCTCCACTTATTATGTGCAGTATCTAATGACAAACATTTTATGGATAGCGAATATTTTCCTTGCCTTTTCTAACTGGCCAATTTTTGGAATTCGTGGATTGCCAAATAGTCGACCCTGAGAAGTGGAGGCGCCGCAATTTTTCGCTTGCTACTCGTCAACGCGTGCCAATCAAATTTTGCATATTCTACAGTGACATTTGGCATCGGCAGCGGATACTACATAAAAATTCCCAAACCCACTAGCCCAATGTTTCGGGATGAAAAAAATAAAAATAAAAAGCGTACCAAATGGAGGATTATGGTCCGTCCGCTCTGTTTCGGCCGGCGAGGTGGCCGGCGAACCTAAGGGGGTGGCGAGCTGGCCGGCAAACCTCGGCGCAGTGGCGGGCGACCCAGAGCTCGGCGAGGTGGCCGGCGAACCACCGGCGAACTTCGCCGGAAAAGGGGACGGGAGGGGATCGGCGAACTTCGCCGGCGAACCACGACGCGACCGGAGTGGCGGGCTGCGAGAGAAAAAAAAGTCGTAAGTCATTTGCAAAAAAAACCAACTGGCGTGGGATCGGCGGCCGAAACTACAGGTTTTTTTAAGAAAGTTACTATTATTATAAAGACTGATAGATATGAAAGCTGCCGACGAGAAGCGGCGAATGCGCGATGCGGCGATCCAACGCGTTACTGAAATATTACGATCGGTGAACGAAGAATCGGATCCAGATGAGGTGGAGGATACAGTGCCGGAAATGGAAGAAAACGCAGGTCTGTGATGTTATTAGAAACCAGCTTATTACGATGGAAAATTGGTATTTATAGGGAGCGAACATAACGGCACCGTCAAGGTAATTACTTGAAACCCCTGTATCGATTTCGACACCCTGCAGGTAGATCCCGAACTGATGGACGGAAAAGTCCTTACGCGACAGATCCAACGGCATGGGGACAACCCGGCGCTCCAACAGCTACTGCAGCGTTAGCTCTCCTACGAAACAATGGTAAGGTAAGGTAAGTTGATCAAAACCGAAGATGAAGGTAGTCAATAAAGGAATACCGCCGAAAGCGTAAACCGTTACCAAACACACATTTCGCTTCTGACAATCTCAAAAAGGTACAATTACGAATCGAATTCAGGCCTCCACAAGCCGCTTCTCCTGCGAGGAAATTCATTTCTTCACCCGTGGTTAAATTTTTACTGTTGATAAATTGATTTAAGCCCCTCTTCCTCAGTCGCTATCTGGGTCCAATCCGTCCTGGTTCTATTAATCCATGTTTTCTTCGTAGATCCTTATTGTTGAATGAATAATAATCAAGGAGATTAAGCATCAGCTAGCCCGCACAGGTTCGCCAGCGAAGTTCGCCGGGCTGGTTCGCCGGCGAAGTTCGCCGACCCCTTGCCGGCGAGGTGGCCGGCGCAGTACGCCAGGCGAAGTTCGCCGTGGTTCGCCGGCCACCTCGCCGGCCGAAACAGAGCGGGACCCGCTATGGAATATTGGTGCATATGTAATCTACGGTCCAGAAGTAGTAACAACCAAGCTCCATTTGGTTAAAATCCACGCAAAAAGTTAGCTACTAGATTCAGAGAAAACGCCGGGCAAAAGAATTTGTCATTTCCGAGCCCGAAAACCAAAATTGGCATCTTACGAAAATGAGTTGCAAAAAAATAATGAAGCAAGCGATTGAAATTTTATTGATTACATTGCATAGCCCGAACTTCTTTCTATCTAATGCCACTGATTTAGCAAGTCAGACCTCATAATGGCAGCAGATATCCTTCACCGAATCAAAAAACCCCGAAACTCGAGTTACCCAGCCCCTTGGCAACATAAATAAAATTTTTTGAGAGTTAGTGGTTTTTACTCGCACTCAGGCACGACGACGCGTGTGCTTTCATCTTAGCAAAAAACTAGAATGAACGCATGGAAGTTTCCCTAAAAATTTTGAGTTCGAAAAATTGCACGAACTTATGGTCCAGCCTAATAATTTTCGAACAACCGGGTTGGTAACGCTGTATGACGTTTTTTTCAAATTAGTAAACACATGTGTTTGAAATTAATTCATTGACTCCCTGACCCTTTTTTAAACATCTACCACCGGGTGGACTCGAGAAATGGGTGATTGGCATTGAACAGCACTTCCTGCACCCAAACCCACGAAATCAGCCCAGATCTTTGCTTTCACAAAGACCAGTTGCTGGGTGTTCCTTAAGGGGATGGGTAATGCATTTCTATCGATCGGATTGAGCCGACCAACGCAACCCGTCTCAATCTGGCCACTCGGAATGCAGTACGCAACGTCAAGTCGTAACGCGCTGCGTGGTCGCCCCCCTGCGCAGGGGCCCGGCTCTGATTAAAACGTCCGGTGGATTTTGAAACGAGGGAAGGCCGCAACGCGTGCGGTAGAGGCGCAGCGCCGAAACGAACGCAGACTTCGCAGCTAAAAACATGTTGCTATTGCACGTCCCACGCACGCAATGCGCCAAACATCCGCACCGTACGCGTTGCCCGGGGCCCATCTGTACCAAGACGGGCGCGCGTGCATAGGGAACCCATAGAAACGAAGATTTATGGACATCCTTGGCCCATCTCTTGAAGGATTTCCATTCATTTCGCATAATTTTCATTTCGCATACCGCCATTTCGCATAATTGCATTTCGCATAATTTTTATTCCGCATAACGGTGATTTCGCATAACGCTTATTTCGTATAACGCTTATTTCGCATAACGGTGATTGCGCCTAACCGTCATTTCGCATAACGATCATTTCGCATAATTTTCATTTCAGCTAACGACCATTTCGCATAATTTTGATTTCGCCTAACCGCCATTTCGCATAATTTTCGCCATTGGCAGCCGATGGTCAATATAACTCTAGCTGAGCAACCAGCAACCGATGAAAAACAATCTACCGGCGCGGTTTTTTGCGCCCTTCCGTGCAGATATTCCAAGCTTGCTCAAAATCCATGACCCATCGGGTGTACGTCTGTTTTGAGGGGCTTGACCAAAAATCCTACGTTGTAGATAGTATCCATGTGTAAACTAGCAGATCTGACCGTAAGACTAGGTCAAAAGCATTCAGGGCCGTAACAAACCCAAATTTCGGGGGGGGGGCGACCCCAAAAATTTTTCACTAATATGACTAAAACTACAGCGCCGCAGGCAAAATTTTTGAAAACATAGGGCTTATAACACTAAAATTAGTGTTAAAAATAGACAAAAACAGCGCCGCAGGCAAAAAATTTTTTGGAAAAATTAAATCGTAAGGGTCCCCCCCTAGTGTACCCTTTCGGCCTTCGGCCGATTTCGGGGGCGGCTCGCCCCCTCGCCCCTCTTACCGGGCCTGAAAGCATTACATTGATTACAGATGCGGAATCCGCGTAAATGGTCGCTAGTCATTTCGTTTGTCTTATACCGTGACTGCACTTCATATCATCAAAAACGCCCTGTTTTGCTCTTCGTTGCCACTAACTAAAAAATATGCGGAATAAAAGTTATGCGAGATCATCGCTAGGTGAAATGAAAATTATGCCAAATGATCGTTATGCAAAATCATGCTTCGGCGAAATGACCGTTATGCGAAATCGCCGTTAGGCGAAATAAGCGTTATGCGAAATCATCGTTATACGAAATCACCGTTATACGGAATAAAAATTATGCGAAATGCAATTATGCGAAATAGCGTTATGCGAAATGATAATTATGCAAGATGAAGAAATACCCTCTTGAAGATGGTGCTTCAATGCATGTATAACGCGACATCGATCTAGGCACCGATTTTGAGAAACGTCATTAGGAGTAAAATGGTATGGAGAAGACAAACAACCGCTGATCGCCTGACCATTTTGGAGCGTGTAGAGCGACACTCCAAAATTTCAAATAACGTAGAGACGGAATGTTGAAGTGATTTGTCATCGTGGGGTAGAAAGCCTCAAAATTTCGGACAAAAAATTTCTAAATAGCGGTAATAACATGGCTGATGAATCATTGTGCTTTTCGACAAACCGCAACCGCAAGCTGGCTAAGCCGATTAACACCACAGCTGGATCGCGATAACCAGATACGAGAAGATAGCACATTCTTTCCGTTTCTGGCAGATTTGCCCACTCCGAATGAACTTTTCGAGACCACAAGCCATTGGCCAATTCGTCCTCTATCGTCACCATCAGCGTCGAGTGTCGAGCTCATGGACGGAGTCGTGCTTGGGCAAGGCGGGTTTGGAACCGTTCGAATTTATGAGGACAGGCGCGGCAAGTCGGTTTTCATTAACTTTTCACATTTTCACAATCAAAAATTTTTAAGCGTTTGTGTTCACTTGGATTTTTCAAAAACCCGTAAAAATTACCGTTAATAGAAAGCTGGCTTTGAAATACCTGAGCGGACGGGCATCAGACCACGAAAGGGAGCTGAACACTTTGCGAGAATTGATGCACAACAACATTGTCCGCTTCTACGAACAACCAGAAGATTATGAGGGAACCGACACGGGGCAGCAGTTGATCTTTATGGAGTATTGTGAAATTGGCACATTGCGGTCTGGTTGGTGGTGCACTGTGTTTTCACTAATTAAAAAAGTGATACTTACTCGTTTTTTGGCTGTTTTTCTATTAAAAAAATACACTTTTTGGTCGTAGATGCATCGTAACACTCAAAAAGTGCCTTTTCCGAGCCACCAGAAGACCCCTAGCACGTTGATATATTTACCTTCTATTTCCTTGTTAATATATGTTTTAGTAATCACTGATATTGAAGTGCTCTATACGGTCAAAACCATCATCGACTGGGCTAAAGCGTTCTATGACGCCTTAAATTATATAGAAGGGAAAGGAATAGTGCATCACGACATCGCCCCGAAAAAGTAAGAGGTATAACTGCTGCTTTACCCAATTTTTAGCATTTTCCTAACGCGTCATTACGTCCCCAAAATTGGTGACTTTGGAATCATGCGGTTGGTTGACGATCCCGATTTTACGCCACGAGGCACACCAGCTTACATGCCACCAGAAGTTGTGGCGGGCAAGCCGATACCCAGGGAGGTTTAAATTGGTTTGTGCTTCGGGTATTGATTCATTTAGGAGCGTTTCAAGTGTGACATTTATGCAATGGGCCGTGTGATACGAGAAACGACGACACGCAGGTAATATTTTCAAGACCGCGACCGAACCTGAATTTTCTGACGCCCTTAAAGGGGCACCCAACCGCCAAATCTAAGCCATTATGGAAAGCCTCTTTGATTTCTGGCAAATTGCCAGCGGGCGCTGCGGGACAAGAGCCCTTGCTCTTTCGATTTTTGCGCGAACGTGTTTTTCCCGGTTTCTTTGTGAAAACACTATAATTCGCGCATTCTGAGCTCACTTTTGAAATCCACGCTCAATTTAAAGTATTTTTGGTGTTTTAATCATCAAATTTGGCCCCGAAACAGTCGAGAACGTGATTTGGTGGTGACAGCAGGCAATTTCAAATTTGCGAGCTTCCCGCGCCCCTGGGCGTACAGAGGCCTGCTCGGGTTTTCGGGCCGTAACTCAATTTTTGGCATTTCGGGGCCCCTTTAAAGATATTTTCGCAAAGAACCGTAACTGTAATGTCACTTTCCGATTTCAGACCATGCGCTGCTGAGGAAGGGCTATCGGAGCAACCCAGTCCGATTGAGCACCAACTATATGAACTTTTTAAAAAGTAATAATTAAGTCAAATCTTGCTATACGTAAAATAGGGCGTGCAATGACGACTTTTCTCTCCGACCCCGGGCCGCCGAAATGTTTGTTTACTACGATAATCTGGTTGGTTTTTCATGCCCGGTTAAAAATCCGCATAGCTTTTCCTTGACCCGGTCGTACTGCAGAAAATGAGTTTTTTTTCAGACATCCACCTACCAGCCGCGTCCCGAGTTGCGCTCTGGAAACGCAATTTTATTTAAGCCGATCGGACTCGATGGAACCGACGCATGGACACCAGTCAATGAATTCGATTTCGATTGTGTTTTGCCACCGCAACTGGCAACCATCACAAGCATGGTTCAAAGGACGTTGGTCGAAGTGCCAAGCGTTGTGCAACCGCTTGCCCTTGCCTCGAGACTCGTACCCTGGCTGAGGACATTAGAGCTCGATGCAAAAATTGACGATCTCATCTTAAACTTTTACCAACCGCAGAATCATTGGTGAGCGATAAGAAGCTCCTAACCGAAAGAAGTTTAGTCTAGAAAATGCATAATCGGACAAATACTTATTTTCGGGCCATTCGGAGAATCCAATTGAGACTGATTAAAAATATTCGTTTCTTTTCCAGGTGTTACCCCAGGCTGGAGCGTGGTTACAACAAGGAGTGGATTCCCGATCTATGTATTTCCACATCGAAAGATCCTGCCGTGCCGGAGAACATCTTACCTGCTAGTAGCTTCCATGGTTACTTTCGAGACGCCGACCTTGATAGCCAAAATATCAATCGGATGCGCCAAGCCCTGATTAACGATTTCCAGGTGAGTAATAAGGTTGGCTGTGATCCGGGATGCGTTGGACTCGCATTATTTTAGCTTATTAAGTCACCTAGTCTCAAAAAAGAAAACTGGCTGTCAAGGCTATTTATTCCAGGCGCAAAACCCAAATCGCGAATCCATAGAGAGGGCTAAGGACTACGAATCAGTGCTGGACCGCTACCGGTATTTGATCGCCAATGAACAAGGTTGGGGCAATCAGCCGTCACGTTGTCCCAAATACTGAACGTTCTTACAGCCGGCCTCGATCCGTTTATGCGGCTGCTATGGCTGAATACGACTCTATTAGATTGTGCCTGGAATTTTGCGCTCTACCTGATGGCTAGCAATCCGGATGTCTGTTGCTTGGGATGGACCCGGGATTGGCAGCGCCTCACCGAAGTGGCCGTCAAAAATGTGGAAGCCACGGCGAAAGTTGGCATTCAAAATCTCGAGTACCGCTCAGTGTACTTGATTGGGGCGAATGCCGCGTACGGAGAGGACCACCGTTGGATAGAGTGGAAGGGGACGAGATGGGACGTACGGCTTGACTTCGAGGGTGGGCTCGATATCGCGAACGCGGTCATGCTCGATTGATCTATTATACAATGGCTCTTTATAGCCATTCGACCCTCAACGCCAAAAGCCGGCTGGCCCACCGCGCGTCAGACCAAACCCGACGGGCAAACATTGAGACGTGCTTTGGGTGATCGTATCTCATCAATGAAGTGTTTCAATGCATGGCCCGTGATTGAGGACTCTAAGGCATTCAAGGATGTCGCGAGCAGGTATTTGAGTTGTTTTGGGTGATACTTTAAAGGGATAAGGGCGTTATCAGTCGAGAACTTTTTTTGGCAAATAGCCAACGAGAGCCAACGAGCGCGAGGCGAGACGCGCAAAGTCACGCCGCTCCGCCTCGTAACTGATCGACGTAACCGGCCTTATCCCCGTAACGATAGCACACGATGCTTTTTTGAAAAGCAGCTTACTTTTAGTTGGAAAGATCAACCTATGCCAAACGAATTGACTGGCTTGCCGATCGCTTACGTCTTCCACCCGAACCAACCACCGGTTGCTGGGGATGTTCTGCCTTGGCCCCTCACCAAGGTGTGCATTTAATTTAAAAACCTCGAACACATCATCGTCTAATCCATTTTTTGAACATTACAGTGGCGCTCATGGAACGACTTCATGACGAGGAGGGAAGCGAGCAAGGTCCCGAGGGAGGAGATCGAGCTTTTAATTGCTACTGAAAATCTAAACCGAACCGACACGTCAAATCACGCAAAGCCAACCGCAGAAGAGCACAAATTTATCGCAGCCCATACGCTCTATGAAAAGGCGTTTCGATACTTGATGTATTGGGAGCTACGTGAAATGCCCTATATTTTCTATCTCCTCATCATGGATCTACTAAAAGAGATCGACAAGTGGGGCGATCAGCTTCCGGAATACCCAATTTTTGTCATGGGAAATGATGATCGTTTCGGGGCGCTGCTCGTTTTGTGGGATAAGAAATCGCTCGAAGAACGTCCCGAAAAACCTCTGTTAATTGGGCCTGGATTTAAGCCCATCGATGTTAATTCCGCAGGTTCTGATTGTCCGTTTGGCCGAAATTTCTTTTTTACAGTGATCAGCTTAAAGGTCGAGTTTGCCGCCCGAATTTTGGATTCGCGAAACACCAGGGAGGCACGTTTGCAATTCGTGGTTCAGTGAGACATTTTCTGCTCCAGGATGAGCACATATTCCGCGATCTCGTCAGCCGGACGTATCCTATAATGGGACAGAATGTTTGTGAGGATTGTTTTACTGGTTGGTTGGCGCGTTTCTTGCTATGTTAAAAGGTTTTCGTCAAAGATACAGGTGGCTGCAATGTACGGTTTACGTTACCCCGCCCCCCCAGCCGAACCTTTTGGCTATAACCCTTTTATTTTACATTATTATACGCTCAAATTAAAACTTTCAATGTATTTTTTGACGCTCTATCGAATGGCGTTGGGCCAATTGTGTGCAAACTTTGTGACCCTTCGGCTGGGGTAAATTAAACTTTTAGCGGCAGCTATCTAGTGATTTTTCGCAACAACTTAGTTTTTACTGTCTTTTTCAGAACTTTTGCAGGTCTAACGATTGTGAATTTGCGCGAGCTTCGACCGATGCTCCAGAAAATGATCGACCACGCGCGCAAACTCGTATCATTCCGCAATCCATACATGAATGATGAGGAAATCAGGCTTACCGAGGCGCAGTCTATAGGCATGCCGTCTTTTCTGTTATTAGTATGGTTTTACCGAGCATTATAGAACAAAGAGCTTACGAAGAGAGCATGCAAATGGCCATCGAGGACTTTTGGAGCTCACGAAACATCATCAAGGTAAATTTTGAAAAGTTGGGTAGTCATTCTGTTTTGAGGTGACGGATGTGAAAGTCGAAGAACTGCAGGCAAACATCTGGCAGACGATAGAGAGGCTTGGTGCATAGAGAAACCCGGAACAAAAAATCAAACGGATACGTTTTCAAAGAATAAATGCCACCCATGGATACGTTTTCAAAGAATAAAGCGCCATTCTTCTTTACTTCAGAGACGCACAGCGACACCTAGCCGTTCAGAAAAACAAACGCCAAAAAAAGGATTGCCATGATTTGACAATCGATCTGCAGAAAGAGCAGGGACAGGCCTAAAATCATTCCTTTGTGCGAACATTTGGCGAGTGCACCGAGCTGGTTCGGGCTGATAAGTACTTCAAGCCCATTGTGACAACTTGCACTTACCGGCAAATTTACTAATCGTCAATTGTTCGGCGTGGCTTTGAAAAAACCTAGTATACCAACCTTAAATTTGATAGACGATTACGCTCTCAAATCTCAGATTAGAATTGGGAAAATGGACGATGGGCGCCGCGCGATTGGCAGTGGCGCCTTCGGAAAGGTCCATGTATATCGAAACATTTACGACGAGTAAGTCACCTAGGTCAGTTCTTTTGTCTAGTAAGTCAGTACATTCCGCTCTCATTCTGAAAACCTAGTTGGCGTCGGGAATTCGGCTACCCGGCCGCGGCCCGCACAGACCCTTCATAGCCCCTGACTGGTGAATCTTCGTTTCGCCGAATTTTCATTTCGCCGAATTTTCATATCGCCGAATGTTGCCGAATTAATCTATGTTGGAGACCTTGGAATTTACAATCCTTTGCTCCGCCTGCCACATGATTTTGTCCGAGCAACAAGAAGATAACTTTACCTTCGTTGAAAACAGCGGCACTGATATTTTCTTCGACCTATGTCTGAAGAAGAGGACAGCTGAGTTATATTTTATTGTTCGCTAGATAAAGGGCTACGAAAATTCCGCCGAATGAAGGTAGGTGCAACAAACTTTAGACAAAATACACATTCGGCGAAATGAAAATTCGGCGATATGAAAATTCGGCGAAATGAAAATTCGGCGATATGAAAATTCGGCGAAATAAAAATTCGGCGAAATAAATGTAAATCCCCCTGACTCCTTCCCCTCTCCCGTCTCTCCCATAGCCTACTGGTCTATGGCGCTGGTCCCAGGCCGGGTGGTCCGGGTTCGGTTTTGCTGGACGTTTAGCACCTACCGTCCCCTTGCATGCTCAAAAGGTTGAGTATTTTAAGATCTTGAAATTATCAACGAGGACGCAATGTCCCTTTAAGACCTCTAAATCACCAGAACTCATCTAAAATAAAAATTCAAGCGTTGATTTTTCTGCTACTGTATATGCTACCACATCGATAGATTGCTCGCCGTAAAAAGAGGTCCTCGGGCTGCCGATCGAACATGAAATCGAGCAGAATGCGCTGAGAAAATTGGTGCACACGATTATTGTCCGGTACTACGAACCTCAAGAAGATTACACGCCGGCTAACCCGCGCGCTTTGTTGATATTTATGCAATATTGTGAGGGTGGATCGATGCAATCTGGTAGGAAAAATGCACGCTAGACGATACTTGATCACACCTTCAAATCGTATACCGTACGGGTTGTATTTAGTAATCCTTGACGTTACAATCATCTATACGGTTGGAAAATTGATTTCCTGGGCAAAAGACCTTTATGATGCATTGGTCTACATACAAGGTCATGGCATCATCCATCACGATATCGCTTCGAAAAAGTGGGTGAAGCTCAGCTTATTTTCAAGCAATATTTTTGTTTTAGCATTTTCATGGATCGGCACTTCGTCCCGAAAATCGGTGATTTCGGGGTGATGCGGATGGTTGACGATCCAGATTTCCGGCCTTGCGGCACGCCTATTTATATGGCTCCGGAAGTCGTGGAAGGATTGGTGGTTCCTAAAGAGGTTTGTGAAGGTGGAGGCCGGTTCCGGATGTCTCTCTCTCTTTCTCTCTCGCTCTCTCGCTCTCTCTTTCGTGCGCTTTCTCTCTCTCTCTCCCTCTCACAATTTTTTTCAGCACCGCTTCAAATGCGACGTCTATGGCATGGGATTGGTGGTGTGGGAAGCGATGACACGGAAGTAATTTTTGAAAATCACTGATGAGGCCCTAAGCTAGAAGCCTAAGTTTCCGCTTAATATACCTATACCCCATCTTCACTTATGCTACAATCTTCGTTTCAGACTAACAACTAGCCGACGACAAGAACCGTATTTTGATCGAGACTTGCCTGTGGAAGAGGATCGACCAATAAAGGATTGGTTACTTTCTACGGTTGAAATGTAATCCATGGCATATTTACAAAATTTTTCATTATGAAATGTTTAGGTCTTGTCACCAGCACTACCAAATTCGGGCAAGCGCCGCTACACTTTACGAATACTACGATTTATTGGTAAGTTTCAGGTTTCAAAAGCGCTCTAATTGGTCAAAATGTTCGATTAAACAGGGCTTCTCGAATCGTACTCTCTCTAGACACAATGGCATGATGGCGAGAGTGTAGTCGAGGTCCGAATCGGCCAAGACCAGCTCTTACCCCCTGTTGGCTTGGACAGTGTTGAACCAGCGGATTCCAATGATGCCCTGAATCCGCCAGTAGCCGAGATGACCATCGTTGCGCAGAAGGGCAAGGGGAAAGACGATTCGACCCTGGGGCCGCCAGGAATTGGAGACTGGACGTTAGTTGCCCGCTCCTCGGGAGGCGAACAGACAGTCGGAGAAGCCAAATCACCGCTGGGCCCAAAACTGAAGTTGTGGCTAAAGACGCTTGATCTGGATGTGCAATTCGATGATGTGATCCTGAATTTTTATCAGAAGGATCATAGCTGGTAGGTGGTTGCAGGAAACTTAATGATACCCATATGGCACTAGTGATACGCGTAGGGTTTTGCGATGAAATTTTGAGTTTGTAAAATTTACAGACCTTGCATTATTCTACGTCGTAACCTTTTAGGTGCACCTCTCGTATGAGACGTACCGTCAAAGAAGATGGCTTTGAAACCATCATGAGTGCTTGCCACCGCGATCCCGAGTATAACCACGATCTACCGGCCATCCGTTTCCGCCAAGCATTCTGGGAGGCCGACCTGGATTCCCAGAAAATTAATGCCATTCGCCGAGAGCTGGTTGTGCAATTCCGGGTATTCCGCGGGAGGGACATTTTCCCCAATAGCTTGCTTATCGTAAATTGCTTTTATCTGGAATCAAAATACGTAGTATATTTTTGGATGTTTTACCAGGTCGCGATGATGTAGTCGCGTAAAATATGAAATATTGAAAAATCCACGACCCCCAACCCCGCTAGCAAACCAGAATCCCTCACGTTTTGGTTTGCGCCAATACCTTGGGACACAGTAGACGTATTGTATTTTTTTTACTCTATTGTGTGAACGGGCACTTTCCTGATCAGCCCTTTTCAGGAGCAACACCCCGATTCCGTCCTGGCAACTAGAGCTGATGTCTACGAACGCATACTATCCGATGAATGCAAATATTCCCAAGAGATGGAACTGCTCCCACCATCATCAAACTGCAAATATCATTTCTTCAAAGCCGACCCCTTTCTGCAACTTCGCTGGCTAGATGCGACCCTTCACGACTGCGCCTGGAATTTCGCGCTCTACCTGATGGGCAGCTCCCCAGATGCTTGCTGCCTAGGGTGGACGCGAGATTGGGAACGGTTGACCAAGATTGCGCTCCAAGAACGTGGAATCGGCGGCGAGTTTTGGGTTGCGCTGTAAAAGGCAAAGGACGGGACATCGGGCCGGGAGGCGTCCTTCTTACGGGGAGAACAATTTGTGGATGGAGTGGTGCCGGAAGACTTGGACTGTACGATTGGACTTTCAAGGTATGGGGTTAGCAAGCAAGAAATAGATCTACTGAGTGGGTCCAAACTTTAGCATCGTTTAGTCTTCTAAAACGCCCAGGTAAGCTCAAAAAGTTGTGAGGGGATCTGCGAAAAGTTGGATGCACTAAAGCTAGGTCTTCCCGCCGATTTGCTGACATTAATGCGCCAACTTCCCCAGTCCGGGATTCAAAAACCTATCGTTAGTGCATCGAACCTCATAGCGGCGCTAGAGGGTATTTGCTAGGGCGCGGATCAGAAAACGGTTATAAGAAAGGCTATAAAAAAAGGTTCTAACGGAGATAAATTTTGTATAACTTGGTGTTTTTTGTTTTGATGTATTTTCACGTATTTCCAGCTGCTCGTCCCTGCCTTTCAAGATCAGATTGGAAGATGGTCGATGCGGCTCGGCCAAATGGCGAAAATTTGAGACGAGTCCTGGCCGATCGCATATCATCCATGAGCCGTTTTGATGCGTGGCCGGACGTCGCCGAATCGCAAGTTTACACCGACATTGCAGATAGGTACTAGTAGTATGGTAGTATTCATATCATTGTTTGATTTCTAGATGGGCAGACCTACCCGCACCTACCGAATTGAAACAGTTACCTCTACTCTACGTCTTCAATCCGAATTCACCACCCGAAATTTGTGGAAATCAGGCGTGGCCGCTGGACTCGGTGAGTAGTTATATCGATGATTTTGAAAATCAGATCTAAAAAAGGAACTCAGATTAAATGAAGTCAAATTAAATGAAATTAAAAATAAAGTGACGAGCATTCCAATAACTAATTCCTATTAGTGTCACGACTGGCAAGGCACTTCCTGTCACACCTCTAAAGGGTGACTTCGCCGGGGCGGCCATGCTAGGCCCTGGGGGAGGCCGCCGTCTCGTATAAAGCTGGCCCGCTTGGCCCCTTTCCTCACTCCTTCCAAAACCCCCAACCCCAACTTCGCCCCTGGCTCGGCCCGCCGGTTCCACTTAGGACCCGACAAGAGCTAAAGGGGAATTTGGTGTATTTAAGTGCTACGCAATAAACATCATACCTTATAATAGCCGCACCCTATTATAATAACATCCAAAATCCACTGAACACTATACCGACGCGAATATAGGTGCGACATTGGTGCATTGGCCTAACCACACCCGGCCCCGCTACCATATTCCTACTTATTCCTACCTATATTCTTAAATTCAATAAATTCCTCTATCTATATTCCTGAAACTACCTCTGAAATTTCAGACTAAAAACTATCAATTCCCATATTCCTACCTCTACAGTATTACCTTTTTTGCAAATTTCATACCACTCTATTCGAATATTAAACTTCCTTGCTGATCATCTCGATATTAAACCATTCCAAATTTGCCCTTTCTGTACTCTACAGTACTTTTCGTAATTTCGCAAATTCGCTATTCACTACTTAAATCGGAATCTCGAGGGATTCGACACCAGATTGCACCATCTGGGGTCCGCCGGCGGACCCACGCCAGCGCAACCATCAATCCCCCTTGGGATCGCTTACGCCCTGTCAACCGGCCCAGGGACAAAGCCCCTTATTACCGTATCCCTCCGCAAGTGGGCCCTTATTCGGAGCTGCCCCCCGGCACCAGGCCCAAATCTCATTTACAACCAAAATCGTCAACAACATCCGACTACCGTAACCCAGTCGCCAAGCCATCTTCAAACTATATTTGAGCAGCAAGCGGTTTACGTGAGTTCAAACAGGGTCATTCAATTTGGGTTGACCCCTTCAGTTTACTAGGCCATACCAAATTACAACCTTTACCCTCTAAATTTACCAAAACCTTCTCTAACTAAAAGGCCTAGTCGACGAAGCGGGCGGGGGTACTGTTGGTCCAGCACCACACGACAACCTCACCCACCTTTGGCGTTTGTGCATTCACGTCTTCCCGTTTCGTGCCGCACATTTGCACTACTCACACTTTGACTCCGACTAACAACTATAACCGCATTGCGCTCTCAACTACTCCCTCCTCCGCATCATCACGCAATCAATCAATCTGATGGTGCTCGGACAGGAATTCCAAACGCCGACGGCTACGCGCCCCCGCTCTCTAGCCTCCACAAAGATCGCCCTGACAAGAGCCATCCGCGATCTGACGGAAATGCGCAAAACGGCAGTGCAGGCCTTTGAAATTACGGACGGCACCGAATGGACGCAAGCGTTAATCGAATCGGAAGAAGTCGCCCAAACAGTGCTGGATAAATCACAACAACTTGCAAGCCACCGAAAAAATCTATGCAATGCGATCGCCACATATGAATGGGAGCGAAGCGAGCTCGACACTTTTGAAGCTGAAGACGTCAACGGAGAATATGGTCTCGCGGACTGGATCGAGAGACATAACCTCGACACCGAATACGACAAAGCGAGCAGCTGCCTCAACTGGCTCACCAGAGCAGTAAATATGACCCAGACAGCGGTCACGACTTTCATGAGTGTTCAGCAACTAGCCCGAGCCGTTAACCGACAGAACCACAGACAAGGCGGTAACAATGAGAATCCCCCGGAAGACCGCATCGTCGTACAGCCCGTCGTGATGGCCCAAAACACCCCTAGACTACCCGAAATCACCCTCCCCATCTTCTCGGGCGAACCGGACGAATATCCTGCATGGCTACAAATCTTCAAGCAACTCGTCGGCAACAATCAAAACCTCAACGACTTGGACAAGTTCACGTACCTATTGAGCTGTCTCAAAGGGCGCGCCGAGAGCGTACTGAAATTCGTGACGCTTTCCGCCGAAAATTACGCCCTAGCCCTAACCCTGCTAGAAGAAAAATACGCCAACGCCGCTACGCAACAACTCTGCCTACTTCAGAAGCTACGCAATACGCCGAAGGCACATAATACGGAAGAAACTAGCGTGATCCACGACCGCGTCAACGCAATCTACAAACAACTAGTCAAAGAAAAGATCGAGATGGATCCACTCACCAGGCAGGACGTCCTTCACAAATTTCCCAAGGACATCCAGAAGAAAGTACGACGCGTTGAAATTACTCACGACAACTGGGATAACAAAACCTTTATGGAACAGCTTCAGAAATCCGTGACGGAAATGGAGCGTCTCAGTCTCGTGACAGGGAAGAATACTACTATCGAAGACACCACCCTCAGCTCTTCTCAGGCTCCAGATCGCACTTTCGAACGACGCCCACGCGATTCTCGTCAAGGAAAACCTCCCTTCGCAAGCAAATATCCATCCAGAAGCCCGTCAGCCAGCCGAAGACAGCCCTACTGTGTTTTTTGCAAAGTCGACGGCCATTGGAGCGACGATTGTCAGCGCGTCAGAAGCGTCGGAGACAGACGCAAATTCCTCATCGACGAGAAACGTTGTTTCCGATGCCTTAGAAGCTTCGTCGCAGGGGAAGCACATCAATGCAACGATCGGCCCTGTAAATGCCAATCTGACAGACACCATTTTGCGATTTGCCCATTAGACCCAAAGAAGGCCCCGCCCGTGCCGGGGCGTCGACCCGGAAGGAGCCGCAGGGGAAGGAATGATCGCAACCACCTCTCTGTCGGCGCCGCCGGACAGGAAGATCCGTGCTCTGAAGAAGTATCTTCAGAGGGACCAGAGGAAGATTCGAATGCCGATAACGAACCGATTACGACAGATTCTGAAAGCGATAATGCCACCGTCCTCACCGCCCACGCCTTCCTAACAACCGGCCCGATCGTTGCCGAAGGATCTTGCCACGAACCCGAAGACCCGACTCAACCACAAGCCGTTGGCCGTCCACGCACGCCGATGAAAATCGATCGCCAAAAATTATTGCTCGCCTACTAGCCGAAGAATAAAGCCGATACTGGTGGGGTTTTTTACGGCACCTCCGTTTTTTCCCCCACCTGGTCGTGTTACCCTAAATTTTGTAATTTTTCGACTTCCTTTTTTTTTTGCTTCCAGGCTAACCAGCTCCTTGATTTGCTCCACCTCAGCTCATTGCCCACCCTCCCCGCGTTACTTGCTATTTGCCCAATGCTTCTGCTAGTTTGTTCCCATGCTAATCGCCAACCAAATGCCCATCCGCTTCACCGTCACCTCACCTCATAACAATGCAAGCCTGCCCCCTAACGAACCCCACTACCGTTCGCCTGTTTTTGTGGCCCCCCGGAGTGTCACACCTCTAAAGGGTGACTTCGCCGGGGCGGCCATGCTAGGCCCTGGGGGAGGCCGCCGTCTCGTATAAAGCTGGCCCGCTTGGCCCCTTTCCTCACTCCTTCCAAAACCCCCAACCCCAACTTCGCCCCTGGCTCGGCCCGCCGGTTCCACTTAGGACCCGACAAGAGCTAAAGGGGAATTTGGTGTATTTAAGTGCTACGCAATAAACATCATACCTTATAATAGCCGCACCCTATTATAATAACATCCAAAATCCACTGAACACTATACCGACGCGAATATAGGTGCGACACTTCCGTTTTTGGCAACTCCGGCCCGACCCCAGAACAAGCCGACTTCATCAAAGCCCATTCGCTCTACGAGCGAGCATTCCGATACCTTATGTACTGGGAATTACGTGAAATGCAATATATCCACTACCTCCTCATTACCGATCTACTACAAGAAATCGCAAATTGGGTGATACACCCATTCCGGACTATCCTTTTTTCGTGATGGGCGATGAAGCGAATTTCGGAGCTCTGCTGATCCTTTGGGATAAAAAGCCACTAGAACATAAATCTCAGATGCCGATGATGATTGGGCCGCGATTTAAGCCAGTGCCGATGGAATGGCGAGGTTTGGCTCACTGTCTTCCAAAATATTTGATCTTTTTAGCCTTTGATGTACAGGGTGAGGCATATATATCGCTACACCTCTAGCACGCACAAATTGGTCTGCCGGCGGAAAACTGATTATATTTTCGGGATAGTCGATGTTTCCCATCGAAGAACTAGTGTCTCTTTATGCAGGAAATAAATGTAAATGGTTGAAAATTGTTTCGATTTGGGTTTAGTTTACAAGGAAGTTCAGCGCTTTTCTCGAAAAGTGGTGTGTTGGCACGCTGCTCCTAGAACCCTGTATATTGATCACTCTGCTGCAGTTTTTTTGTATTCTGGTTCAATCGGATCTTATTTATCTTTTCCAAAAGTTTTTAGTCGGAAACTAGCGAGGGAATTTTACTACATTCAAAAAAGGAGTGACTACCCAACCCTCCCCACCCTTTTGTTGGCCACTAAAAATTCATCAGAAAATCTAAGCCAACTGAATATTTGGATTCGAGCTGTTTTTTGCGTTTTAGGCATCCGATACGAGCAATTCCCAATGATAAAACCAAGAAATTGAACAGGTACAGGTCAAAAAATGTATTTTTATGTTTTTTACTATGGTTTTTATGGCCAGCTGAGACAAACTTTTAACTTTCTGCCGAATGAAAAGAAATAAGTTGGTCTCATTGTCTTTTTAGATAAATTCTAAGCAGTACAAATGTTTTTAGGGGGGGATTCGTGTCCAAATCAATGTTTCCGAACCATACCGAAATCGACCGCCAAGGGGTTCCGTGCCAGACCCACCTAACGACGCCCAGTTTTTGATTCAGAACAAGTGTTTATAGGGTTGTTGCGTTATAGGATTTTAAGAGTGTCGAAAGGACACATGTGGCTATATCACAGCAAAATATTGAAGCCCGGCTCGCTTTAATAATTTTTTGGGGGCTCGAGAGGGTGTAGCGATATATATGCCTCA